TAAAAATTCAACTGTGCTGCAATTGTTTTATAGATCAAGGCATGAGATGCCATGGCAGTATTGGCGTTTCTTCTGTTAATTTAGTTACTCTATTTACATCAATAATATTCACTTTAATTTTATTTACCTAACATTTGTAAAAATTGAGAACAAAAATTATTATTAATTATTAAATAAATAAAATTATAAAATAATGTGATTAAATTAGAAAATTAAACAATAAAATTTTCATCGAAACGTCGAGATTCAATAAACAATTATTTGAAAATTTGCATCTTTTGGATTATTTTGACAAAAATCTTTTCCAAATGATTAAATTAAAAATCCAAAAACTTTTTGTTTTAAAATTATAAACATAAAATGTTAAATTATAGAATTAAACAAATTTTTAAAAATTTTTAAATTTTAATTAAAATTAGAAAATTGTACTTAATGTAGTTTTACAAATTTAATAAATTTGTTTAAAGAAAGGATTTTTATTTTTTCCCTATTTTCAGCTATTTTGATTTAAAAATATTTTTTCGTATAAAAAATACAATTTTTACTCCTGGGGGTAATAATTTCACTTGCCAGGCAACAGAATTCGCACGATTAGACGTAACGATTTTAATATCTTTGAAATCACAACCGCACCTGTTGCTCTAATATTTTTTTTTCTCAACCTTCCTTGCTGGTGTTGATAAGAAAAAGTGACATTTTACTCATAAAAACCCAAATACAAATTTATTGTTTTAATATACTGTCAAAAAAAAGATAAAAACAATTCTTTTTTCGCAACAAAATTTTTTTCCCCTCAGCAAAAATTATTATTATTATAAATTCTCTAAACATTGAAAAAATGATTCATGAGAAAAGAAATAAAATCTTGATATTTTATATTATTCGACTTGAACTTTATTTTACATTAAATTCTACAGGTATTATAAAATAATACCAACTATATCTGTTCCATTTCTCCTGAAATATATGTTCTTCTTGACAATCTAGAAGCAGATTGTTGCGTACGAGTGGTAGTTAGAGGCTGCCCATAATGCAGTAATGAGGGCTTACTGCCATGGAAACCAAAGCCGCTTACAACCAACCACTCTCTACCGTTTCTATCCCACCCCCTAAAAACCCCCCTCTCATCAATCCATCTACCAAAAACCATCCACTATATTTGCCTTCAATACCACCCTCATCCGACTCTTTCGCTAAAAATTGTTCCGGATTATATTCACAAAATCTCACCGTTCAACAAAAATTTTAACATATATTTTATTGGCCTCGAAAATACCCCTTTTTTTGGAAAATAAATTTATTCCAATAATTTTTTTTCCTGAATTTTAATTTTTTACTGATAATAATTATTTTTGTAACTAAAATTTTTTCTGATTTTTAAAATAAAAATTTACTGTCACAGTAAAATATTTTTTTAATAGTTTTAATTTTAACTTTTTTCTGTTATTCTGTCTGACTGAAACGTACTTTTACTACTAGTAAAAATTTTACAAGCGTTTACAAATTCTGATTAATCATGCAGTACTAATATTTAAATTTTTTAATAAATATAATATTTTTTTTTATTGGAAAAAAATGTTCAACTTATGTCTGACTGAAACATGCTTTTACTACTGGTACTAAAATTGACAGAATTAAAAATATTTAATCTGACTGAGACATAATTTTACTATTGAAACAGAAAATTTAAAAAAATTTACAGTTATGTCTGACTAAATCGTACTTTTACTACTGCCACTAAAGTATGAACAACTGAGACAGTCACGTTTGACGAAAAAACTTTTACTACTGAAACAAAAATTTTAAAATTCTGTACTAAAAAGAAATTTTTAACTCGATGATCCAAAATGAAAATTTCTTTTTCGACTTATATTAGAGTTATGAAAATTAAAAAAATTTACAAAATTCTCCTGTCTGACGAAAACGTTCTTTTACTACTGGTTACAAAGTTTTTATACAATCGAAGCAATACTGTCCGACTAAAACGTACTTTTACTACTAGTTCCAAAGTACATATATAAAATCGAAATAGTCTCTTGTCTGACAAAAAATTTCTATACTACTGCCAATAATTTAAAAACTATATTCAATCCCAAATTTCAATCTCTGTAAATTAGATTAAAAGAAGTGGTTTAAAAAATTTAGTCCCTTATATTGTAATTTTGAAAAATAGTTGAAAATTAATTATTTACAGTGACAATGAGATGAAAGAAACTAAGGGAATTTAAATACAATTTAATGGATGATTGTCTTGTTTCTTTTCTCTCTTTCTCTCTCAAAAAAAGCATCATGATAAATCCCTTTAATCTGGCTAAGTAGATACCAGTGCCAAGCACAATACATTCGTTTCATCGTTCTTTCTTCACTGACTTTTTCTGTAAAATTAAGTTCCGTCTGCAAGTAAATTTTTCACGTTCTCTTTTTATTGCTAATTTTTGTCCTGTCTTTTAGGAAATTTTAATTTAAAGGGCAACAATATTTTACACGAAAAACAAACTCCAAATTTCGAATTGAATGTTAAATTGATTAACAATTTCAGAAAATATTTATTTTAATTTTTATTTACCTTATTCGAAGATAACTGAATCTTAAAAAATTATGATAAAAAAATTCTAAGAATTAAGTAGTTTTTAAAAATATTTTAATATAATTTTTCAAAAACAATTGAATTTCTTAAAATCGTTTTTGTATTATTAAAAAAAAATAATTAATTATTGGATGAATTTTAATTAAATCTTTTAAATAAGATTTTTTTTCCCCAAAATGTTAAAAATAATCCTTAAATGTTATTATTTTTTTTATATCTATTTGAATTTTCGGAAATATGTAATAATTGAAAACACTGAAAATACTAAATTTTAAGAAAATCAAAAGCTAATTTTCATTAGTTTTTATTTTTAAATCCTTGTTTAAAGATTTTTCATTAAAATTTTAGGTAATTCGATTATTTTAATAATTTGCAATTAAAATTCTTCAAAAGTTGATTTTCAAAAATTCTAACAAAATACTTTTCAAAAAATTAATTATTTTCAATTAAATTGTCCGAGTTTTCAATTATTCAAAATCTTTTGAATTTTATTTCATAATTTAAATAGAAAAATAATTCTAAAATATTTTTTGTTTGTTTATACTTTATAGTTATTTTTTCGCACTATAAACATCGAAATGTACATTTAATACTAAAAAATATGATATTTTGTTGCAATATTTGGAAAAAAGTCGAAAAAGGCGCAATTTTTGAAAATAAGTCGAAAAAAATCTGTTTTCTAAACTTTTATGACAAAAAAAATTTTTTTTTCCTGACATTTCCCTCACTATACTGACAAAAATTTTATTTTACTAAAATTTCCCCAACTTTACTGAGTTTACTGACAAGAAAAAATATTTTTTTTAATAAATGCAATTATTGAATAGATTGAAAAAAAAATCACGAGATGATACTAACAAAGGAGAGATTAAAGTCAACAGTGAGGGATAAAGAAGAAACGATTGCAAAACCTCGCAATTTCCTTTTCCAATTTGCCATAAACAAGTCGACTACCCCATCGTTAACTACTGGGACGTCCGTGACTTCTAGAAACTCGCGGTGCCCCATTCTTGAGAAAAAGAGGGGCGAAAGGGGGTAAAAGGGGGTTCGAACTCAATAGATATTCAGCTCAAGGGTATTTTTCCTCTGCTAGTGAAGAAGAAAAAGGAAGAAAAGAAAACGAGGGTGATGCACAACTTTTGGTCGAATTAAAAGAATTAAAAAAAAATATCGCCTCGTTACTTGCATCTGCCCTTCTTATTATCAAACTTTGCTCTTTTTTTCTTTTCTTAAAAAACTCAGTCAACTCAGTCAAAAACCATCACCAAGGGGAATATATAGGCATTAACCGTTCGTAATGGTTGCGATTATTAGGAGGAATTATTCAGTGGTTCTCGGACCCTTGGTTTTTCTCTCTCAGTACCGCTTATTTCTCATTTCTGATTCTCAGGGCAAGTAAAGAAAGACTGAATTATTGACGATCAAGGGACCCAGGAATTAAAAATCCCAGTGTCCGCCTACGTAAATCTGACGAGTGAATGAGGGGTGAAAAAATAGAGGAAATGTGTGTTGGTGAGAGAGAGAGAGAGAAAGATCGAGCAATGGATATTTGCCGAGTGAATTAAAAATGAGGGAGAATAAGGGCTTGACTCACGATCCCAATGAAGAAACGAGGCCATCAACTAGGGTGCCTACCTTAATGTACCGACGTCTGAATGATTTAAGATCCCCCCCGTGATAACGTCTATACGAGAAAATGCCTCTCGAACTAAAAAAAAAGGAGAGGGTCACATTATTTCCTCATGGAGATTTTTCCTTTTGAATTTTTCTCCAATTTTTTGCAATCGTATGTTTTCCTTGATTTTTTATTTTTTGAATTTTTGATTTCTTTTCCCTTATTTTTTTCCTTTCTTCCTTTTCTCTTCTTATTATTTTTCCATTTCATCTTTTTTTCTTTTCCTATTCTTTCTTTTCTCTTTTTGATTTTCTTTTTCCATTCTTTCATCATTCCTTTCCATTCTGTTTCTTTTTCTATTTTTCTTTTCCTTTTTTTTCTTTTTCTCTTTTCTTTTTTCGTCCTTTTCCCGTTCCTTTTTCTATTTTTCTTTTCCTTTTTCTTTTCTTACTTTTTCTCTTTTCTTTTTTCTCCTCCTTTTCGCCTTTCGGTTATTTTTGTTTTTAGTTTCACGCCTTTTTATCAAAAACTGAACAAACAATTGTTTTTTATTTTGTTTTCCTCTTTTTGGTAACTGAACAAATGAAAATTGCTTTCTATTTTCTTTTACATCTTAATTAATTTTGTTTTTGGATTGACGCTCTTTTTTCAAAAAACAAAAATCTGTTTTTCGCCTTTTTCGACTTATGGATAAAAAAATTTGAATTTAAAAAAGAAAAATTATTTTTATCGAAAATGAACGCAAAAAAAAATATTGTTTATCGTCGGGAGAAATTATTTTTAAGCTAAAAATCTTACCTCTTCCACTTCTGCCGACGAACCTGAGGTCATTGAACTTTGCGACTTGGTTCTTCATCAGGGCAGTTGAATTGCGTAGTTCAGCACAACAGTTCTCGTCGTTACCAGCACGCACTGTAACCAATGTTCCATCGCCAACTTCGCCAAGAGCGACGACCTTAAATGCCACCGGTAATGTCTTATTTGATCTCCAGTGCGACGGCAGAACAGTGCAAACAAGATGAGGACAACCTTTGACAAGAAAAATTATTTTTCAACTCTTTTTTTCGCTCGATTCATAATATTCACTTAAACAATTATTATTTTTGTTTTAGTATCATGGCCATGAATAATTTTTTACTTTCGACTAACAGCTTTTATATTAGAACCATTTTTGACTCAATTCCAACCTTGAGAATGTGATTTTAAATACTAGAATTGACTCTATTTAGTTTTCAGTATAAAAAAAATAAAAGAAAAACTGCAAATAGAGCAAAAAAAGAATAGAAAAGAAAACTAGTAATTAGAGGAAAAATATTGTCGCATAATTATCTAAGCTTATCATTGAAGCAGGAAAAAATTTACTATCTTTACTGGTTTATTGACCATAAAAATAAAGTAATAGAAAATAAAAATATTATTCTAAAAGATTAATACACAAAAGTTTTGTCAAATATAAATTTGGTGGTATTATTATTAGTAATTATTATTATTATTATTATTATTATTATTATTATTATTATTATTATTATTATTATTATTATTATTATTATTATTATTATTATTATTATTATTATTATTATTATTATTATTATTATTATTATTATTATTATTATTATTATTATTATTATTATTATTATTATTATTATTATTATTATTATTATTATTATTATTATTATTATTATTATTATTATTATTATTATTATTATTATTATTATTATTATTATTAAATTTACTTGTATATTCAATTGTTTAATAAAAAACAAGGAGATAAAATTGAATTTTTACTAGAACCAAAAGCCAATATGTAAAATTTGATTATTTATCAACAAAATATTTTTCCTCTTTTATATAAATAATAAAAGTAAACATCAGATATAGAAAAAACATTGTACTTTTCTGACACTAATTTTAAACAATTTTTAAGATTTTAAGGGAAGTTACACCGATATATTTAACCATATGTATGAAGAAAATAATTTAAATATTCTACAAAAATTATTTTTAAGGTAATTTTTTGTGAGGAACTCAATGGTCACAAAATAATAGGGGACGAAGAATATTTTAAGTCTTAAAACCCTTTTTCAATTTTTAATTTGATTAAAAATTCGTAGATTTTAAAATCTATGCGTAATTTTATAGAAAATATTTTTAAAAACACAAAAAAAATTCCCAAACAAAAAAATTGATGTTTATAATTTTCGAAGCATTTTTTTTTTTGAAAAAAAAACTTTATTTTTAGGCTGAAAATGGTAAAAAAAAACATTATTATTCAATTTTTTTATTTAGAATTTTTTTTCTTGCTTTCTAACTATTTTCAGATGATAATTTTATCATAATTTTCTTATTTTTTTTATTTTTTGTACATAAAAATTATGATCTGAAATTAGTACCTAATAGAAAAATAAGTGAATTAATTTTCAAATAAAAAAATTGAAAAAAAATGTTAAAAAATACAATTAATATTAGTATAACTGAACTTTTTAGCATTTTCGGACTAAAATTTAGTTTGCTTCAAAAAATGCTTCAAAAATTATAAAAATTAATTTTTTCATTCAGAAATTTTTTTTGTAATTACGAAAACATATTTTCTACAAATAATTACCCGTGGATTTCAAAATCGACTAATTTTTAAGAAAAATAAAAATTCAAAACGGAGAAAAACATTTTTTTAATCGGTTTTTATTTCATGACCATTGAATTCTTCTCAAAAATTAACTATAGAAACAATTTTATGAATTATTTAAATTATTTTCTTAATATATAATTTAAAATAACGGTGTACACCCTTCCCTTAAAAAAAAAATCCCTAAAAATTTAATTTTCTTATAGAAGTTCATATTCGCGACATGTTAAAAATGCTTCAGAGATGAAATAATTTGAGCTATTTTATAAATTTAGTTATTGCATTTGAATTGAAACAATGTTTTGTTTCATTTCAAGAGTTTTTTATTACACAGCCTTTAAGTGGTTTGAATATTTGTTAATTATTATTATAACAACATTTTTAAACTCTTTTTTCAGTTTTTATCAGATTTTAAAAGAGATAAAATGGTCGATCTTTTTATTTTTTATTTTTAAACTATGAATTTTCATTTGAAATTGAAAAAAAAACATTTGCTAAAATAGGTTAAAAAATTCGTTAACGAAAAGTTCAAGAATAAGGCGTATGAAAATATTCAATTTACAATAAAAGTTAATTTTTTTTTAATTACATGGCCTGTTTTTATTTTTCATTACAAGACAGGAAGAGGAAAACAATTTTTCAAATAATGTTTCTTTAACTAAATTTAAATTCGATTCACGAGAATGTGTTTGATATAACTTAACAATTTTGTCTTTTTTTAATTTTTTTTTTTAAATTATATGTAAGTGCTGAATTTTTACTATAAAAATGGTTAATAATTAGTAGAGCCACTGTAAAAAAAGGTTCTAAATTCGATCCTATTTTGGTATTGAAACAGAACAAAATTTTTATTTAGTACGATAATTGGCATTAAATTAGTATTTATTAGTACCTTTTTGTTTACAGTATGAGAGTAAATTTATATTACTCTCTAAATCTGAATTAGTAGTTTTCTACTAATGAAATAGTGCGAATTCATTTATCAATTTAATTAGAAACAGTTTTTTCTAATTTCAGTACTAATTTTTACTTAATTTTAGTATTTTTTTACTAATTGCTAGTAGAAAACTATCAATTTATTAGTAAGTCGGCTTACTAATTTGAAATAGTAAAAAATACGACTCACTAATTGAACTAGTAGTTTTCTACTAGCAAATAGTAGTTTTTTACTATCAACTAGTAGTTTTCTACTAGCATATAATATTTTTCTACTAGCAAATAGTATTTTTCTATTAGCAAATAGTAGTTTACAACTAAAAATTAGTAGAAACTGATACTAATTCAAATTGATTCTAGAAAATAGTAGTTTTCTACTAGGAAATAGTGGTTTACTACTAAAAAATAGTAAAAACTGATACTAATTCAAATTGGGACCAATAAATAGTAGTTTACTACTAAAAATTAGTAAAAACTGCTGCTAATTCAAATTGGTACTATAAAATAGTAGTTTACTACTAAAAATTAGTAAAAACTTATACTAATTCAAATTGGTTCTAGAAAGTAATAGTTTTCTACTAGCAAATAGTAGTTTCCTACTAGTAAATAATAGTTTTCTACTAGCAAATAGTAGTTTTCTACTAGTAAATAATATTTTTCTACTAGTAAATAATATTTTTCTACTAGCAAACAGTAGTTTACTACTAAAAATTATTAAAAACTGATAGTAATTCAAATTGGTACTATCAAATAGTAGTTTACTACTAAAAATTACTAAAAAACTGTCACAATTTCAAAAAAAAAAATTACTAATTACTAATTCAGATTCAGAGGGTATATAATATAAAAATAATAATTCTTTTTCTATCGAAACTAAATTTTTCTACAACTCACCTGTCCTGACGAGTTCTCCAGGATGTTCGGCGAGCAAACCATCCAACGTACGTTCGGCAAGAATATCGGCAGTGAGCACATATTCGGCTATGTGATTACCACCAGTTGAACTCTGCGGAGGAACTTCACCAGCCAAGTGCATTCTCCGTCTCGACGAACCCCGAGTCCTTCGAATTCGAGAGCCACTCAGATGACTCACATTATTCACATGATGCACGTGATGATGATTGACGTGCGTCGATCTTGGATCACTGTAGTCCAAACCCAGAGGCTGATCCTCGGGTCGTGAATCTCGCGATGGATTCGTCATCTGCCTTTTTTTATTCGAAAATCACTAACATTCTCGATATTTTAATTTTTTTGGGTGAAAAAAAAGAAAATCACTCTTTTTTGTTTTTGGAACAATAACAATCACTATTTTTCCGGAATTAATTCATTTTTCTCCCTGAATTTATTTGTCTTCTGTTTTTCCTTTTTTTTCGTCTTTTTTTCCTCTTTCTTTCCCCCTTTCTTTTCTTCTTTCTTTTCTCCTTTCTTTACCTTTTTGTTACCTTTTCGTTTCGGTATTTTCCTTCAGGTTTTTTTTTCCAAGGAAAATATTTTCTCCTTTCTTTTCTCTTTTCTTTACCTTTTTATTTCCCTTTTGATTCCTTTTTGTTTCGTATTTTCCTTCGACTTTTTTTTCCCCAAGGAAAATATTTTCAAGCACCACAAATACTGGAATTGAAGAATTGGGAAATTGATTTTGGGTTTCGAAATTAGATTTGTTTTTTTCACTGATACAGAAAAGCTATACACATGTTTTAGAGGGTGAAGAGAATTTGTCCTTCTTTGATCCTTATTTCATTATCCCGCGACGACGGATCTCCAAACGAAAGGATCCGTTTGCAAATTCTTCTTCTTGTTCTTACTTCTCTCGTCTGCCAAGTCGCGGAGAAAATTCCCTTTTATTGAAATCCTCCTCGTCAGTAACAACCCTCTGATTTCTCTTTTTCCCTCTTTAGAAGACACATTTTTTTTTCTTTTTTATCTCAAAATAAAAAAAAAACTATTTTCGCGAACACTCGCGCAACTCTCGATTCTCGAAAACAATCGCTACGCACCTCGATTAGAATTCAAAATTTGTCTCTTGTTTCGCACTTGACGTTTGTTCCAGAACTTCGGGGGAGGGAAATTAAATTGACACTTGGAAATATTTTAAAATACGGGAAGGAAAAAAAATACTGTAAAAAATAGGAAGTTGGTCTGAAAAATAAAAATACTGTAAAAAAATGAAAGTAGTCAAAAAGAATAGTGGGAAAAATAAAAATAGGGTGAAAAATTTAAATTTAGGGTAAAATTACTGAAGAGTAAGGAAGTGCCCCTTTTTTTGGGGTAATTTCGGTACAAGAATTCTTTTCCACTGACACTTATTCACTCAGGACAGGATTTTTTGACGAAAAAAGAACTTTTTTTTTATAAAAAATGAACTTTTTGAGGAAAAATTAACTTTTTGAGTTTTCCTTTTTTGGGATTTTTTGTTTGTCGATGAAGTGCACCAAGTGACGATTATTGTTCTTCTGTGGATATCACCTGGCGGGAAGGAACACCTCCGAAAGGGTGTTTAACTCGCGCGGTCTCGTTTCGGTTCGGCGGTGGAAGGTGGCGGCTTCTGCGGTGGAGCCGCGCGGTGTGGTTGCGGTGTATTTTTGAGGCCGCCGCCCCCAGCCACCGAGACCCCTGCCCCCAGCCCTCCGCCGCCTCACCTCCCTTCACCAAACCAACTCGACGCTGTCACGTTGGTGGGGGCAGTTTTTCCAAGCGGTGGGGAGAAAAATCTCCCAGCCGCTCTCTACTACTGCTACTGCCACCGCCGCCTGCCCACCACCGTTTGCTTTCTCGATATACTGTTTTTCACTGTTGCACTCGCCCCAACACCAACTATCAGGATTTGGATTTAGATTTCATCTCTTCTCCCTCTTTTGCGTTCTCGTACCCCTCCTTTTTTTCTCTCCTCTCCCTCTTCCTTTTTTTCTGCCAATGAAAATTAAAAATCAAAATGAATGAAGAAAAAAATAAATAAATCACAAAATTTCAGAATTAATTTTGGTAATTTTTTGGATATTGTTCAAAAACAATTTTTTATCATCTAAATTCACAGTTTTTCTAAGAATATCAAATTGAGACAAAAAACGAAACAAAAATGTTGCTTCGCAACACTTTTGATTCGTTTTTTTGTCTCAATTTAATATCTGCGGAAAAACAGTACTTTTATTTTTTTTCTGAAAGATTTCGGAAAATTTTCCTTTTGAAGAACTATTTTTATGATGAAAATTACAAAAAATTAAAAAAAAAAAGAGAAAAATGTGAACAGAAGAAGAAACAGGGCAGTTATTTATCATTTATGAAAAAAAAAAGTTTTCCTACAATTTTTTTAAGCTTTCATTTCAAGTGACTAGACTTCGAAGTGAGAAAAAACGAGAAGTGTGAAAAGAAGGAAGAAAATATTTTCTTTTTTTTAAAAACGTTTTTTTTTGTAAGATTGGTTTTTTTCACTCTTTTTTACTTTACTTTTAACATTTTTTAACATCTTACAAGTGACTAAAAAGAAAAAAGAAATTAAAAAAAATTGTGTAGAAAGGAACAGGGGAATAAATTAATACAAAAAAAGAAAAGAAAGGGGAAAAAATATTTTAAGAAGTGTAAAAAATATTTCGTTTTAAAAATTTTCTTTCCAGTAATTAACAATTTATGTAAAAAATTTTCTTTACAGTGACTAATCTTCTTAGTAGAAAAAACAACAATTGAAAATAATACAATTTAAATGTTAAAAAAATATTTAAATAACGAAAAATAAAATATTATAATGAAAAAAAAATAAACTGAAGAAGAAGAAAATAATTCTTGTTAGAAATTTTCTTTACAGTGACTAATCTTTTTAGTGAATAAAACAAGTAATGAAAATAATGAAAGTAAAAGTTATAATATGAAATAATAAACAGAAGAAAAAAACAGAATCAACATGAGAGAAAAATAAAAAAAGCATTTAAAAAATTTTAAAAATAATTTTTGCAGTGAAATTTGTTTTCCATTGTCAAATAAAAATATAAGAAGAAAGTTAATAATCAGAAAAAGAAGAAAAATTAGGTGAACAAAATTTACATAAGAGGACATTAATTTAAAAAAGAAAAAAAAGAAAACTAATTTATGAGACAAAACAAAAAAAGAAACTAATTCAAGAAATATAAGAAAGGATTTTTAAATCATTTTTTCGAAAAAAAACTTTATTTTTAGGATGAAAATGTTAAAAAAAACATTATTATTAGTTTTTTTTATTTGAAAATTCATTTTTTTTTGTTTTTCTAACTAATTTCAAATGATAATTTTATTCTAATTTTCTTATATTTTTTTATATAAAAATTATGATCTGGAATTTGTAATAGAAAAATAAATTAATTAATTTTAAAATAAAGAAAATAAAAAACATGCTAAAAAATACAATTGTTATTAAAATTGTATATTTTAGCATTTTCAGTCTAAAAATAGTTTTTTTTTAAATGCTTCAAAAAATATAAAAATTAATTATTTCATTCAGAAATTTTGTTGTGATTACAAAAACATATTTCAAGAATAATTCAAGAAATACATAAAAGAAATTAAGAAAAGAAAAACAAGAAAAAATAATATCTTCAGTGACGAGTTTTTAAAGTTAAAAAAGAAGAAATGTTAAAAAACAAAAAATAATGTAAAAATATATTAAAAAAGTAAAAAAAGAAAAGATAACACATTCACGAAATAAAAAAGATTCAAAAACTGAATTAAAAAATTAAAAAACTATTTTTTCAGTGAAATTTCTTTTTCAATGTCTATTTTTTAAAGTAAACAAAAGTTAATTTTTATGGAAAAACACTAAAGTAATTATTATTCTTTAAATTAATTTTTAAAATAAATTTATTTTTGAAAATAAATAATTTTAAAAAGTAAAAAATAAGAAGAAACAAAAGGCGCAACTAATAACAAGAAAAGAGAATGTAATAAACAGAAAAATAAAAAATTAATTGAAGAAAATTCAAGAAATAAAATATAATTGAAACAAAATTCAAAAAAGTAGGAAAATAGAAGAAAGAAATTGAAGAAGTAAAAAATAATTATCCCCTTTAAATTTTCTTTTTAGTGATTAGTCCTTAAAAAAGTAAAAAACAAAAGAAAATATGTAAATAAGAATGAAGAGAAAAAAATATATAAACAAATATAAAAAAACAGAAAGAAGAACAAATAGAAGAGAAGAAATTATTTAAATGAAAAAATGAATCTAATTTAATTAGTGAAAAAAATAATAATTTCAGAAGAATAGGAAAAAATTGTTTCAAAATTTAAATATATTTTCTCGTTGTATTAAAAAATACACATTTATAATTGATAATAATTAATAAATATAATGACCATAATAAACATAACAAATATAATGAACATAATAAACATAATGAATATAATAAATATAATGTTATAAATAAATAATAAATATAATAAACATAATGAATATAAAAAATATGTTACAAATAAGTAAATAATAAATACAATAAATATAATGAGCATAATAAACCTAATGAACACAATAAACATTGTAAATATAAGAAGGGGGGCAGTGATCAAGCGCAATAATTTAAATAAACAAATGAAGAAAATAATAAAAATCTGTAAATATTTTCAGAAAATGACTCAAAGAATTATTTTCCTTACTATATATATAAAAAAATAGAAACCCGATCTCTTCCCGATCTCGAGATACTAATTTACAAAAAAACTTCAATACTGTATGCTTTCAATTAATTAAAAAAAATCTCTTTCTTCCGTATAATTTTTTTTTTTTTTTTGCTTTTTTTCAGCGTTTCTTTATCGAATTCTTGGACCGTTTCGCGAGCAACTGCAAAACGACACTGGTAAGAAGGGAAAACAAAGACGACGGCAAGACCCTTGGTGTAGATGCGTTTAACGCAAAGGAATAGGGGTCGTGAGTTCGAGTTGTGTATATATATCTATATATATAGAATAAAATCGGGGGTGAGAAGTGGAATGAGAAAGAGGCGACGAGTAAACGTTGAATGTAACCGAGGGTAGTTATCGTGGACATGAAAGCCTGTTTGCGGGTTATCGTCTTTCGAATCCTGCAAAATGTTACACATTGCACTTTCAATCCCCACCCCCCCCCCCCACATCACTGTTTCTCTCATATGAGAGGACGTGTGGTGGGGGTAGGAGAAAAGTTATAGCAAGTCGTAAAGATCCTTTGGAAAAAATGGAAAAAAAATAGAAATAAAAACTTGTTCCCTTACGCTCCGAGTTTTTCAATATTTGATCCATTTCATTCCTCTTTACAACTCTAAGCTTCACATAAAAAAAAGAAAATTCCGGTTCTCTATATGCACTTTCACAAATTTGCCAAGAATTTTCAGCTTTTAATTTTTTTTTTTCTTTTCACGTGTTATCTTGGGAATTAATTTTCGACTTTAATTCTGTTAACGTAATTTTATTCCTATTTCAGTCAGTTTTTGATTTTTTCTGTTAAATAAAATAAAATTGTTTTTTATTGTCTTAGGTACTTTTTTGTCTTTTTAGTTAATCAATTATTCGAGAATTAATTTTACTACAGTCACTTTTTTAATTTTGTCAGTAAGGAAAATATGGTCAATGTAATTTTATTTTTCAGTCTCTTTTTTTAATTTTTCCAGTAAAATATAAAATGTGTTTTTTTTTATTCTTTCAGTCATATTTTAATTACCTTCAGTGAAAAATAATTATTAGTAGAATTAGTTTACCTTTTTTATTCTTTAACTCTCTTTTCTAATTTTTTCAGTAAAAGTTAATTTTGTTATTCTTTCAGTCAATTTCGTATTTTCAGCTAGTAAAATAAATTGTACTAAAAATAATTTTACTTTCATTTTCCCTTTCGTTGCTATTTCCTTAAATTTTTTCTTGAAAATAAAATATAAAATTTGTCTTCTTTTATGCTTTCAGTCACAATTTTAATTTTTCCCGTAGTAAAAAATATAAAAATAATTTTACTACACTTTCAGTCACTTTAAAAATTTGTTGTTCGAGTAAAAATTAAACCTTAAATTTCCCTTTGCAGAGAAAAAAATCAGAGTATAGAAAAAAATTGATTTTAATCTACAGAGGATATTTTTTTACATTATTTGTATCATTTCTTTTAAGTAGTAAAATAAATTTTCAATTATTACCGTTTTTTGTCAGGAGTGAAAAAATAAAAATCGAAAAAAAGAAAAACCGACCGAGTTATTCTTTTGAGAGTTGGCACGAGACTATCGATCATGACGAATATGTTCTGAGTTGGAAGAGAGAAGCCGAAAACTAAAAGCCCCTTTTAATCCTACTCCCTTATGGTACTGACAATGGAAATTCACCCCCCCCCCTCCCCCCACTTCTTTCATTTCTCTTATCCATGTAACCCTAAATACTGCCCTTTTGCTATGGATGCATGCAGTATAATATCTGATTGTCTCTTTTTTATTCGGTTCACTTACATGAAGATCCCCCCTACTGTTCATATTTTTTTTCCTCTTTTTTTTTTTATTTTCTATCTCATCTTATTTGACACACGAAATGATTCAATAAAACCTTTGGCGAAAATATATATATGAAGGTGAAAAAGGGGATCATTCACCATAAACGCTTTTACATCGTACAACACGCGTGTAAAATATATAAAATTTCACGCGAGTACCACTCTCCCACGCGTCGTCGTCATTATTTTCAGTTCTCTGCGATATCCCCTTTTTGGGGCAAAAATCATTTTCAAAAGAATTTGCAAGAGTGTGTTCGATTAACTCAAAATCCAATTATCCATCAATTCAATGATATTTTTCCACTTTTTAGAACAATTGAATTTCACTCGTGAACGGTTTTTTTTTATATTTACATGTACTATATATATAACGGAAAAAAGCGTTTAATCAATGAATTTCGACAATGTGTGTTTTATGAGGAACGGGTTTTATTAATTAACAATTGAAATTATCTTCATTTAACTTTTTTTTTTCTTTAAAAATCCAATTTATCCATTTGGATATTTTTTTTTGTCCTTATTAACTGAATGGAATGGAAATTATATTTTCGAAATAAAATGTAAAAGGAGTAAATAAATAAAATAAATAAAGAGAAAAAAAAATCCATTTGGATTTTTTTTTTACTGAATAGAATTTAAATTATATTTTCGAATAAAAATAATAAAAATAGTAAAAAGAATAAATAAATTCAATAAAAAAATTTCAATTTGGTTTTTTTTTTTGCCCTTAACTGAATGGAATGAAAATTATATTTTTGAAATAAAAGGTGAAAAGAGTGAATAAATAAGATAAAAAAATATCCATTTGGATTTTTTTTCTTCTATAAAAAAATCGAATAAAAATTATATTTTCGAAATAAAAAGGTAAAAAGAGTAAATATAGAAAATAAAAATGTACATTTGGATATTTTTTTGTCCTCAACTATATATAATTATTTTCGAAAATTATATTTTCGAAATGAAAGGAAAGAAAAGTAAATAAATAAAATTAAAAAATATCCGTTAGAATTAATTTCTTCTTTACTGAATAGAATTAAAAATATATTTTCGAAATAGAATCTAAAAAGAGCAAATAAATAAAAAAAAAATGTCCATTCGAATATTTTTTGTCCTTCTCTGAATAAAATGAAAATAATTTTTTCAAAAAAAGGAATAAATAAATAAAATAAATAAAGTGAATAAATAAAATAAAAATAAGTAAATAAATAAAATTCTAAATTAAATAAATAAAATAAAAAAGAGTTAAAAAAAGAATCGAATTTTTTTTATTGAAAATTTAGAAAATTAAAAACAAAGTCAACTAATTAACATTGTCGATAATTTTCTTTTCAGGGGGAAAAAAATTATTTAGTGATATAAATGGATAATTAATGAAATTATTTTGTGGACATGGCGAGAAAGTGGAGTGGGCATTTTAATTTTCGTTGTTCCATTTTTCCACATGACACCCACCGCTTTACATCGATGAGCAAATGGGGAGTCGATTATTGACGTACTTTTCCGTTCGAATTAATTGGTCCAATTATCGAAACTGGACAATTACATGCTGGCGACCAATTAGACTGTTGGATTAGTTCGTCAGCCATATCGAGTGTATCTCACACACATGTCTCCAAATTTTATTCTAAATATCTAAATTTAATTATGATATGCATAATCAGTAAATAATTAATTTCCCCCATTTTCCATTCTCATCACAATTAGTCACAATTTTTTATGTTTTTAATTCTTTCATATTCTTTTTTTAATTCTTTGAATTTCTCCATTTTTTTAATTCTTTAAATTATTATTTATTTACTTGAAATTTACTAATTTTATTAATGCTTCAAAATTAAATTCATTTTAATTCCTTGAATTTTCTAACTTTTTTTACTTTTTAACAAATTTTATAAAGTTTTAATTAACTTTCTTTCTTTTTACTATGAAATAAATTTTGAAATTATTTTTAAAAATAAAAAAAGGAAAGTTTAAATAAAGAGAAAATAATTTTATTTACGTACCGAATGTAGTTTCCACAAAATACACTTGTTCACTTTTATTTAAATTTTAATTATAGAGAAAGTCCACTAAAGGTGACATTGATTTTTTTTAAGAAAAGTATTCTTTTAAAGAATATTTTTTGGTAAGTTTTATTTTTTTTAAACTTTTACTAAAGAAGGTTTTTTTAAAAAGATTTTTTTTTACGGTTTTTTAGAAAGGTTTTTTTTGAAAAGGTTTTTTAGAAAGGTGTTTTTTTAAAAGTTTTTTAGAAAAGTGTTTTTTTAAAAAAGGGTTTGTTAGAAAGGTGTTTTTTTAAATAGTTTTTTTAGAAAGTTGGTTTTTTTATAGAAGGGTGTTTTTTTAAAATGGTTTTTTTTAGAAAGGAGGTTTTTTAAAGAAGGGTTTTTTTTAACAAAGGTTATTTGGAAAGGTGGTTTTTTATAAAACAGTGTTTTTTTTTTAAACGATTTTTTTTGGAAAGGTGGTTTTTAATAAAAGGTTTTTTTTTTAAAAGAAGTTTTTTAGAAAGGTGTTTTTTTGACAAAGGCTTTTAAAAAAAAAAATATTTCTTCAAAACACTATTTAAAAAAAAAAAAAATTTTTTAATGTCGTTATTTAAGGAAGTCCTTTTAAAATCTTTTATTTTTTAAACGTCGGTTTTTTTTTCAAAAAAATTTTTCAAACCATGTCTCTTAGAACGACGCTATTTTTAAATAGTGTTTTAGGGGTGAAAAAATGTGAGGAACTAAAAAATAAAATTGAGGGTATTAATAGCAGAAGGTTAGCACATGTTACCGGGGCTATTCTTGAAAAAGGCCGCTGATCTTAGTGGCGTCTTGGGGGTGTCGCGGGTGATGACACCCGGGGGTTGAAAACGTGACGAAGGCGGTTCCCGGGGGCGGGTCAGACTTTTTCCAACAAGTGCGCATGCGAACACTTTTATACCCCACCATCAAGCAAAACCTTAACGTTCTTAAAGGCTTCTTAGAGCAAGTTTTGTCCTCGAGGGTGCCACGAAGAAAAGGGGTTTGAGGGTGGCGAAGAAGGCTTGAGGGGGATGAGAGAGAGAAAGAGAGAGAGAGAGAGAGAAAGAGAGAGAACCATAAGCGCGTCGGGTGGTTGCCGTGGGTGCGGAAGGGTTTTGCAACACGCGGTACGAACCGTAACGCTTTTTGGTCGCCTTTACTTGATACTCCAACGGGATTTCAAATTTTTTTTTTATAACCCTACAATCTGTGTGCTATATTTTATACATATTCTGCACTAAGAGAGAAAAGAAAGTCACTTTTATTATGTAATTTCTACTTTCTAATTTATTTATACTATTTGAAAAATAACCCCCATGTTTAAAACCTATGAAAATTAACCCTAAAAATTATCCCTTTGTTTAAAAAATAAAAATTAACCCTCAAATTAATTTCCACTTTCTAACTTTATTCACTATTTAAAAATTTAACCCCCATGTTTAAAACGTACGAAAATTAACCCTAAAAATTAAGTCTTTGTTTAAAAAATTAGCCACTTGTTTCAAAAATAAAAATTAACTTTAAAAAATTAACCCATCGTTTAAAAAATTAGCCCCTTTTTTAAAAAATGAAAAATTAACCGTAGAAAATTAACCCTTAGTTAAAAAAATTAGCCCCTTGTTTAAAAAATGAAAAATTAACCGTAGAAAATTAACCCTTAGTTAAAAAAATTATCCCCTTGTTTAAAAAATAAAAAATTAACCGTAGAAAATTAACCCTTAGTTAAAAAAATTAGCCCCTTGTTTAAAAAATGAAAAATTAACCGTAGAAAATTAACCCTTAGTTAAAAAAATTATCCCCTTGTTTAAAAAATAAAAAATTAACCCTAGAAAATTAACCCTTCGTTTAAAAAATTAGTCCCTTGTTTAAAAAATAATTAACCCTTGATTAAACTAGACTGGAAAAATTAACCACTTGTTTAAATTAAAAACACGAAAAATTAACCCTATGGTTGCACTAAAATAGTTAACACTACGTTTGTTACTATTTTTTCAAAAATTTTTTTTTCCATAATTTTTTTTAACCAAAAAAACTTGTGAAAACATGTGTTTTTTTTCTTTTTCTTCTTTGGGGAAAAAAGCTAATCCGTTCTAGCAAGTCTTCACGCAAGTTAACAACGATCCGACGTAATGAGATTGTCAAGAGAAACCAAAGGAAGTAACGTGAAGGAGTTATCTGGTCTGGAGCAGGCCCAAATCAGATTAGATGCGAGACAAAAGTTTCCTTGTAGTCATCGGGGCTTCGTTCGATATCTTAAAGATAGCAGCTGTTTTTAAACCCTTTTATATCTAACGTTGTACACTTTTCTGCTTGAGAGAATTTTGCCCACAAATTATTTATCCAACATTATGACGTTGAAATGAAAATAAATATTTTGTAAAAAGAATTTTTAGGTTTAATTTTTTCTCTCATAATATTATAAGAATTAACGATAATGTTAATAAGAAAAAACGATTTTATTATAATTTTAAAGGGCTAACGGAAATTTATTTTCATAGAAATGTTGGCAAAATTTAAAGCGATGTCTGACTTAAATTGACTTCTACTACTGATTGATTAACAAATTGTGAATAGAATTAAAAATTTACTTTCAATTATTTTTCTAAATATTTCGTACTTAATTGTACTAAAAGCGACGTCTGACTTAAATTGACTTCTACTACTGATTGATTTTCAAAATGGAAAATATAATTAAAAATTAACTTTCAATTATTTTTCTAAATATTTCGTACTTAATTGTACTGAAAGCGACGTCTGACTTAAATTGACTTTTACTACTGATTAATTTGCAAAATGTAAAATAGAATTAAAAATTCACTTTCAATTTTTTTTTCTAAATATTTTGTATTTAATTGTATCTAAAGCGATAATTTGTAAATTTTACAAAATTAAGTTTTTTTCGTGCTTTTAACTAAAATTCTTCTAGATATAAATGCATTATTTTTAATAATTTTTGAAAAAGTTCTTTGAGAATTTTCAAATTCATTTGTTTACAACTTAATTTTACAAAATTTCAATTATTCGTAAATTACAAAATTCGATTTTCAATTCTTTTCCATTCGTAAATTTTTATATTCAATTAACCTTTTTATTTTGATATACATCTTTACAAAATTTAATTTAATTAAAAACGTTTTTAGGAATTTCTGAAATTAGGAATTTAAAATTAGGAAAATCGTCCGGGAACGGACGATTTTCGATTTGGATTTAAAAATCAACTTTTAGTTTTTCTTTATAGACTTAAAGCAATGTCTGAGCAAAATCGATTTCTACTACTAATCAGTTTGAAAATAGAAAACAGATTTAAAAATCCACTTGCAGTATTTATTTTTAGAAGAGTTGTTTCTAAACAATTGTATTTAAAGCGATGTCTGACTTAAATTTACTATTTCTACTGACAAATTCAATGTCAAACTTTAGAAAATGAAACTTAAAATTTATTTCCACTATTTTTTTGAGAAATTCAGAGGCATTCGGTTAAAGTAACATTAAGTAAAACTAAAATTTTCAAGAATTAAAAATTCCTGTCTGACAGAAACTGTCGTCTACTAGTGTAACGGAAAATCTAATTAGAAACTAACTTTTACTGCTGTAAAGAAAGTTAGATTTTATTCTAACTGAAGTGACTTTTACTATACTTACGAACAAAGTAATATAAGTATAATGAAAATTTTTAAAAAATTAGAAAATTAATTGAACCTGTAAAACATAAATTAAAAGCAGTTATAAAAAATTATAGTAGGTGGTCACTTTTTCTAAAAAATATTTTCTAATCTATTTTGTGTAAAAGACGCGATTTTTAATGAAATCTGTTTTCTAAAAGAAGTTTTTCTAACAATTTTTATTTCTAAAAAAAGTTTTTCTAAGAAGTTTTTATTTCTAATATTTATATTCATAAAATTTGTAAAAATCCATAATTTTGATAACAGTTAGAAAATTGTTAAGAAACTAAGATTAAGAAATAGAAACTATTTTGCATATTTTCTGTTTCTGAATCACAATTCTGGTTACAAAATAATAAGTTTCTTTTTGAAAAAGAAAAAAAAAATTATAAAATTACTATTTTTTATTTTACAATTTGTTAATAAAATTTTATTCTTCTTTGAAAAAAAAATAATTTGCATCATTTTTATACTAAAATTTCCAAAATTTATTTATTTATATAACACTTTTTTATAGAAAATTTTAAAAATCCTTAGGAAAGAAATCCCTAAAATTTCTATTTGTTAATTACGATTTTCAACTAGATTATTTTCAAATTTTGTTAAAAAATTTGCATAATTTCTATTTTTTATTATAACTTTTTAACAAAATCTCAAATATTTTTTTAAAGAATTAAAAAATTTTCGTAAATTTTATTTTTTAATCTACCAATTGATTATTTGAAAATAATAATAAGTAGTAAAAATAATAATAATATAAAACATTTCATAAAATATGTTATACGTTATAAAAATATAAAAGAATTTAAAAATTCCTGTCTGACTATAACTAACTACTACTACTGAAAGAGAAAATTTGATTTAAACTAACATCCACTTAAATTAAAAGCTTTCTATTCAATTAAGGTCACTTTTATTTCTTACAAGAAAGAATTACAAGAATTCCAAATTTTCTGTCTGACTAAAATGTTCTTTTACTACTCACTAACAAAAATTTCAAAGCTATGTTTATGTCTGAATAAATACTGACTACTACTACTAAAATAGAAAATTTCATCAAAAAATAAATTAATACTTACTAAAGTATTATTAATTTATCTTTTAATGAAATTTTCTATTTTAGTAATTAAATTAAATATTTCAGTTATTATAAAATTACTAGTTTTAAAATGTTATTAAAATTAGTAAAATTTTGTTTGATTTAAATCGACTTTCACTTCTTTTTCTCCGAAAATTTTAACAATTTACAAGATTTCCTAGGGGGAAAAATTGATCTTCAAACATAACATAAACTAAAATATGAATTCAATTACAAAAATTAAATTCATCCTTCGTGAAAAAGAGAACACAGCACATTTTTATTGTATCCTCGAGACATCATAATTCAGGTATAAGAAACCAAAAGGCAA